AAGATTCGCATTATTTTGGCATGCTTTAGAGTATATTTGGTATTGTTTTAGAATATACTGCATTAAATCTGACCATCCTAAGCCAATAAAACATTCCTCAGTATCATGTATCAGTAACAACCAATCTCAATTTTTATGTTGCACATCTGCAATTGTTAACGGGGAGGTGATGGCCTAGTGATGTTATTGCTGGACTGTTAACCCAGAGACCCAGATAACGTTCTGGGGAGATAGTAGGAACTGCCGATGCTGGAGAATCAGAGATAACAAGGTGTAGAGCTGGATGAACACAGCAGGCCAAGCAGCATCAGAGGAGCAGGAAAGCTGACGTTTCAGGTCGAGACCCTTCTTCTGAACCCTGAAGAAGGGTCTCGAACCGAAACGTCAGCTTTCCTGCTCCTCTGATGCTGCTTGGCCTGCTGTGTTCATCCAGCTCTACACCTTATTATCTCTAATGTTCTGGGGACCTGGGTTTGAATCCTGTCCTTGGCAGATAGTAGAATTTGAATTCAATAAATAACTGTATTTAAGAATCTAATGATGACCGTGAATCCATAGTCAATTGTTGAGAAAAACCTATCTGGTTCACTAATGTCCTTTAGGGAAGGAAACTGCCATCCTTACCTGGTCTGGCCTTCATGTGACTCAAGACCCACAGCATTGTGGTTGACTCTTAACTGTCCTCTGGGCAATTAGGGATGGGCAATAAATGCTGCCCAGCTAGTGACACCCTCATCCCGTGAATAAACTTAAAAAATGAATAAAAGGACTGACTGTGTGGCATGTTCTCGTGCAATATTATACCCCGCAGTTTAACATGCTATTCTAACCAATACAGTTTGCTGCAACTTAACATGTTGTGGTAGATTGATATAAAATCATACAGTGCAACAAACTGTTCGGGATTAACATGACACCTGACAGCAGGTCAACAGAATACTATTGACTCTAACATGTTAATCCAGATCAATGCAAATATCCTAATACATAACATTCTAATCCACACAAATACAAAATTCTGCATTATAGTATTTTCCTTTCCACCACTGAGATACCCTGCAATATAATACATTCTTCTAAATGCACAGAACATTCAGATTGTGTGTGTGTTGATAATGATAAACATAATACATTAAGCCATCTTTATGTGAAGGTGCAATCCTGTCAGTCTAAAATACTTTGTAATACTATAGAATGACATACTGATCCAGGACAATATGTTAAAATGCTTAATATAAATCCAATATTAGTCACTTTGACCCACCCAACGTTGCCCAGCATATTTTTACGTTAACCTATTTTTCTAATCAACCCATTCAGAGGTGTTATTACATATATCTGGAGCAGGTGGGACTTGAACACAGGCCTCCTGGTCCACAGGTAGGGATGCTACCACTGTGCCACAAGAGAGCCTTTGCCCAGCATTTTATTGCAGATTGAGGTGCTTAATTGCCAATGTATTGAGCAGTTAAGGGCCTCGATGAGATTAAATCAAGTGGATGACTTTCCGTATTGTGGGGAATAGGTGGGTGTGAAGGCGGTGGACTGGGCACTGGACATAAGTTATGTATCCCTTGTCCCTCATTTCTTGCGAAAGACGTGCCGAGCAGGACCTGAAAAATGAAGCCCCAAGTCTTTGTTATCTCCATCTTGTCCAGGTTCTCATTCTATCCTCTGTAAATTTGAGGTATTGAGCATTCTGCTGCCCATGTCCATTCATCACCCATTCCCACCCCCCAACTTCCGTGCTTGTGACTTTTACTTGATTTGCAAGCTTGTCCTCAGAACCTCACCGTGGCCTTGTCCTTCCCTGATCTGCATTCTCTTCCAACCCCATAACCCTGTGAGATTTCTGCATTCCCAAATTCTGCGCTCTTAGGCACCCCTGTTTTTACTTACTTACTTTTTGTCATTGTGTCTTCGGATAAGTAGAATGTAAACTGAAAGTAGATAGATCAGTCTATCACACTGTAGAAAGGACAGATCGTGATATTTGTTAGAAGGCACAATTTTAAATACAGTGGATTTGTGGAGTCAGATGCTAACTCTTTAAAATGCCAAGAGAATGTGCAGAAAATAGTCAAGAAGGTTAATGAAATGCCGGCCTTCATATCTAAAGGACCAATGCAGGGATGTAGACATTATGCTTCAGTTATACAAAACCCTAGTTACACACCATTTAGAGTACTGTGAGCAGATCTGGACACCAAAACTTAGGAAGGGTGTCTTGGTCTTCGGAATGATCTAATTAAAGTCTTCAGCAAATTAACAGGGAAAGATAGGGTTGATAAAGGTAAACTGTTTCCCCTGGTTAAAGGTTCTAGAACCAGGGCACACAGTCTAAGAATTAGGGCGAGGCTATGAGAAGAGATATTAGAAAACACTTCTACACACAAGGAGCAGTGGAAATTTGGAACATTCGTCCTCAAAAGGCGGTTGATGCTGATTCAGTTGTTAAATTTAAATCTGAGATAAATGTATTTTCCTAAGCAAGGATGTCAAGGAATATTGACCCAAGGCAGGTATATGGAGTTAGGCCACATATTAACCATGATTGTATGGAATGGCAGAACATGCTCAAGGGCTGAATGGCCTACTTGTGTTCCTATGTTCTTAAAATTTGGAATATCCTCCTGAAATGTCTACATCTCTCCTCACCTTCTTCCTTCAACATATGCCTCTCTGGCTAAGATTTTGCTACCTGCCTGAATCTTTCCTAAATTGGCACAATATCATATTTTGTTTCATAATACTTCTGTCTGCATCTTTGGAAATAATATTACTTTAAAGGCATTATATAAATGTAAGCTAGTGTTGCAGTTGCTGGGCAGACTGCAGAAGTTTTAAATTGTTTTTTATACTGGAGGAGACGAGTAACTTACATGGGATCTGTGAAAAGGAACTTGAAGGTGTTGCAAGGGCAAGTTGTGAACACCAGTCACTTTACTGGCAGCATGGTTGCTGAGCAGCTGTCCAAATTTAAGGAAAATATATCTCAGGAGGCCAACAGAAATGACTGACAATTCTTAAGAAACCAAAGGAGAAAACTGCAGGAAATCTTGTCAATCAAACCTACTGATTTTCTTTGAGTATGTGTCAAAGGAATGTGATAGGGGTAATGCAATGCATGATGTGTATTTGGATTTCACAAAGGCCTTTTGTAGAAATCCCCAGAAGGCTTGATAATATATCTATAGTGGGATTCAAAAGAAATATCTTACAATGGCAACGTAATTGACTGATGACAATGCTGATACAATGAATGTTACCATGGGCAGAAGGTGCCCCTTATGCGTACAGGACACCCCCTCAATGAGGTGCCATCCTTCATTTTGACTTTGCCCATGCCGGCCGCAAAAGCTGACCTGCCCTCTTCTACCTGCCTGCCTATGCAGACTGCATTATGATATGAGAAGCATATTATTCAGATCAATAGACGTGTGAAAAATTGGTCTTTGGGATTATTTATTTACCTAGGGTAGTGGATCTGCCAATTACAACACCCACCCACCTCACATATTATGTGGGTGAGGCCGGATTGAGTGGGAAGGTAGTGGGTGAGCCACCCAACCTATTTTACATGAACAACCCCCCTAATGCCCACTACAACCACTACCAATACCGCCCCACTATAAAATGGCCTAGCTGGGGCAGGCAAGTACCATTCCTTTCTTTGGTAAATACCATCCATTTGGTTGAAGTTTTGGGATCTTTGATTCTTAACATCTTCATCGAGGGCTAGAAGGCCACAAACACAGTAGCTAACTTTGAAGCAGTTACAAAAATAATGAAGACGATGGATTGCCAAGTTGAACACAATAAATTACATTGGATTATTTAGAAAATATTTCAGAATGAAGCAGTTAAATCACAAATGAAATTCAGTGTAGAAAAATGCTGGGTACTTCACATGGGAAAAAAACAGTCAAGAAGAGAATATTATGTAACTGTATGGAAAATAATATATATGGAAAACGAAAAAGATCCGGGGCCCCTAATGGACAACAAATTGAAGCTCGCGGTATTTGGTAGCAGTGAGTAAAGGAAATCAAAAACAGGAATGTATCATAATGCCAATATTGAGCATAAACAGTGAAGTAATCGTGTCACATTATACGTTAGGTGATGTGACCACAGTTGGGATACTATATTTTGTTGCCATAATTCAAAAAAGATATTGAAGTTATTGGAAGAAACCAGAGGGGGGGAAACCAGAATAATTCAGAATGTGGAGGGATTGGATTATGAGGACCAATTATGTCAATTTGGTATGCTCTCATTTGAGAAGAGAAAGCTGATCTGGTATTATTGTTGTTTATCAGGTTCATTTTTTTTTCAGAAAAAACTATTTTGAAGTGCAACATTTGAGAAGTAAAATACGTGTGAAAATAATTTTGGAACTATAGTTTCTAAAGCTTTTTATGCTGGTAGTTTTTTTTTGTCTCTTTTTTTCAGTATGGTATAGACAAATTAATAGAGACTGATTGCTATAATTATTCAAATCCATTATTCTATTTTACAACTACGAGGATAGTAGATGATAAACAAAGGCCACCTTATGGGTCCATGCTTCCCATTTCCTATTTTCCATCTTCTGCCATCTTTTTTCACTTCTCCGCAGTCAAGTTCAGTATGTGAACTGTCAAGAGTCCAAAGAGTACAGTTTCTCTTGGCATCCGCAGCTCACTTATGTATCTTCCTTTGAGGCCCAAGTATAAATGTAGGGTGTCTAGTCTCGGTCTTCGAGTGTGCAAGGCCAGAGCACTGATTATTTTGCATTCATTAATGGGTGTTAGAGAAATCAAGCCTCATTGTGTCAGGATAATGCCAGTAAACAGTGAAGGCTTAAAGTTGATAAAAACTATTTATGGCAAAATTCTTTAGGAATTAACAAACTACAGTGGCATGGCTGATAAGCATTTATGTTTTTCTCATTACTGGACTGTTTAATAAAATTGAAAAAAAGAAAAACTAGAATAAATTTTGTTCATCTTTAATAGTTGATGCAGCAGCAGGCGACAATAATGGCATCAGTTGCCCAGGGAGGTTACCTGAACCCTATGGCAGCATTCGCAGCAGCACAAATGCAGCAGATGGCAGCCTTGAATATGAATGGACTGGCAGCTACACCTATGACACCAACATCAGGTACGTGTGCAGTGCTACCACTTAATTAGAATCACATTCCTACCATGTTGTTCAAAGCATCTCAGTGGTCACAATTGAACAATCGTTTCCTTTTTACTGAAAGCTTTTACTTCTGGCGGGATGCAGTTTCAAAGAAGGCAGCCATCAGCTGGAGGGGTACTGAACCTAGTTATTATTTTTCAAATGTCTGCCTAAATAGTATCAAGAGGCAATGGCAGCCCTCACAGCTAAGTCCAATCTTGACACCCTAGTGCAAACCTGACCTTACCTTGAGATGGAATGGTAGTCATTTTCCCTGCAGTATTTTACTGATTGTTGAGCACAAACAGAACTACTGGCTGACGTATTGCCTGATGTATCTTTGGTATGCAAAAGTCCATCCATAGCCTTGCTGACATCAACTAACCCAGCATAGTACAGGAATCTTATAAAAAGTACGCTTAGTGGTGCATTTTAAAATTGGTGTTACAATAAAGCTAGAGATACTGAAAGCACCAAGCCAAACCCTTTCCAAGATATTTTCTGATCAACCTGTTCAGAAATGTTATTATACACTTGGTGGGACTTAAACCTTGGCCTCCTGGCTCAGAATTAGGGACGTTAGCACTGCATCACAAGCGGCCCTAAGCCCTTTCCAAAAAAAAATTAAGAAATTCAGTTCAGCTGTTCAGAGGTTTAACAATCTCATCTACACCATCAGGAGATTTATTGAGCAGAAGTACAGGATGTAGAACTGGATGAATCACTCCAGCATGCATTTCTTGGTTTCTACATACAAGTGCAAATCATTCCATAAAACTAATTTCCCATGGATGTTAAGTTAGAACTCGCCCTTGAGCAATAGAAATAAACAGGGTGTTATTGCAGCCTGGTTTGCAATTGTTGTAAAGTCAATGGAAGTAAGTGGTTATCGTGTAAAATCAAAATTTCTATATTGAGCATTGATACCTCAAATAAAGAATAGTTTGTTTAGTTGGGAGATGAGTAGAACATAATGGCATTTTTCCATTCATGCATGGGTGATGAGAATGACACTTCAGCACAGACCAGAGTCATAGAGTCATACAGCACGGAAACAGACACTTTGGTGCAACTTGTCTATGCCAACCAGACATCCCAATCTGACCTAGCCCATTTGCCAGCATTTGGCCCATATTCCTCTAAATCCTTCCTACCCATTCAAATACCTTTTAAACATTGTAATTATTCCTGCTTCCATCCATACATGCACCACCCTCTGAGTGAAAACGTTACCCCTCAGGTCCCTTTCATATCTTTCCTCTCACCTTAAACCTATGCCCTCTAGTTTTAGATTCCCCCACCCTAAGAAAAAGACTATTCACCCTATCCATGCCCCTCATGATTTTATAAACCTTTACAAGGTCACCTCTCAGCCTCCAATGTTCCAGGGAGAAAAGCCCTATTTAGCCTCTCCCTATAAAACAAACCCTCCAGTCCTGGCAACATCCTTGGAAACTGATGCCGAAACACCACATGCCCAGGTGTTTTTTCCTTCACAAATGCTGCATGTTCATTTTGGGCCATTGCAACAAATGGTCTCCTTCCCAATCCCACAGATTAATCAATGTAAACCTGCTTTGTCATTATGTCAGCCCTTCATGTATACTCTCACTTGTTCCCCATTTTCCCCATCTTGATGATAACAGATTTTAATGTAAAGGTAGTCTCACTTAATTTTGTGCTTTTGTATTTATTACAGCAATTTTTACCTCACAACATAGTGAAGCGTAAGAAGCAATTTCAAGCAGATTTATTCTTAAAGTTGTCTGTGGATTATTTCCAATTTTTGTGTTTGGAAACCCATGGGGGAAATGCTGCTTTATTGCACTACAAACACAAATTGTACTAAGAGACAGAAATCAATAATCTGATCTTGTTTTACAAAATTATTGCAAAACAGAAACTAATACTGGCTCCTCTAATGACAGTGCATTGCTGGATATTCTACTGTGTCATATCATTCAAGAAGATCCAAGTTTCAGACTTTTTGCTGGTACTGAGGTAGCTGATCTCAGTTGAAGTAGCATTTGATGTGCTGCATTTGACCTGGGAGCCCTTGATCTAGGAAGGGGTCAGACTGGGTAGTATTCAATTCAGAAAACACAGTTTAATAAGTGCAGACAGCGTTTGAGAACAGGATCGAGTTTCCTTTTGATACGCTCCAAAGTCAAATAGCCTGCCAAATTGCTCATGCATGAACAATGAACGGTTATTTGAATAAGGATTTCCACTTTCCATTCTCCTGTACTACAGCACTAGTCGGGGTTTGTTCATTCAGTTGGCTAGGTGGCTATTTTTGCACTGCAAACTGACACCAATAGTGTGGGTTCAATTCCCACACCAGCTGAGGTTACCATAAGGACCCTCCTTCTCAGCTTCTCCCTTGCCTGAGACATGATGACGCTCAGGTTAAACCACCAGCAGTCATTTCTCTTGAATCAGACAGCAGTCCTATCATTGGTAGGACTGTGGGTATTTTATCACAACAAAAGCCAAGCATCAGAACACTGGGGACAAAAAACAGATCCTGAATGCAATGAATTCTTCAGCATATTTGTGGAAATTAGTGACTGCTTGAGATAAAGATTGGAATCTGTAGAATCTGAGTTTTTGTTATTTGCAGTGCATTCATCGCATGCCAATTTTTTCTTTAAGCATCTGCTAATTGAGCACTCTGTCAGTCAGGTGGAAAGCAGCTCATTTCAGACTAACAATCATTCTTGGCTTCACGCAGGATGTTATTAAAGTCCTTTTGAGTATAGACGAGTTGGCATCAACTATGATTGCGTTAAGCACAGAGCACACTTTGTGATAATTAAGACACACATGCTAGAAAAGTGCAGACAGAATGGAGGCAAAAATAAGTACTAGTTTGGAAGCATTTAAACAATGTAAGTGACAACTTGGAAACCTTCTTATTCATTAGCAAGCTCTTCTTCAAATAAGACAATTATCTTTATAGGTCAATTTTTTAAGAATATTTACTTCTAAACCACCAAGTTTCTCTCCAAATTATTCTGCAAGATATTCTCCCTCTGTTCATTTCTTAACCTGAGCACTGAGCAACTCCTTGTTTCTAGCAATCTTAACCTCTGTTTTGGTTACCTTTGCATTTCTTCCACACTGTAGGAATACTATGATTCTATGAATTATTTTTCCTCATTTACTTATTGGGCCTCCTTTCAAATTAATTTACTTACTGATATTCATGGGAACTCACTTGACCTTGCGATTTTCCAAGGGATGGCTACTCCCATTTGCTTACAATTTGAAATTTGATGGCTGCAATGTTTTGGCAAGTCCTTAGGCAGTGCAAGGTGCTATATAAATGAAAATTATTTGTTTCTACAAACTAGATCACCCACAAGACTATGCCTGACAGCTGCCTTGGATCTACCACCATCCATATACCCTTCCCTCTTCAAATTCACTTTCTTCTCTACCTGTCCCTGGCATAACATTCAAAAAACTTATCTCCCACACCAGCTGAAGCATGTTTGGGTTCCTCTGTCATAATTACCCAGCACGTAGGATCAACTTGAAAAGTAGCAATGTGGTTGCCTCTCTTCTCTCTGAATTTGCCTAACAAGCCATTTATTTCAGGGCAATTTGGAATTGGTGACAAATGCTGATCTGAAAGAACAAAGGAAAAAGTATTCCTGCTATGTTTCTCCACTCTCAACCATTTTCTTAAATTCTGCCATCTGCCACCTTCAATGTTAATGGCAATTACAAGGTTTTAATGGCCTTCAGTGTGACCATGGATCTCTGTTCAGCAAACTGCTGTCATATTTTGCCTGTTCACTTGCTCACTGAGTTAAATATTCTCTCATCCCTACCCTATCATTAAAACAGTGTGAATCTCTCATTCCAACTTCCCTGTTTCCCACCTCCAAATTTAAATCATCCCTGAGACCCACCTCCTTCTGACTTGACACCATTAATAAATTAATGACTGGCCAATTTCCCTTTGAGGTCCCATGCTACCTATATTGTAACCATTCCCTCTCCCCAGGTATTGTTCCCAGTTGCTGATTGGCAGTAATTTCATGTAGTGAGGTGGCCTTAGGACCTGCCTGAGAGTCCCAATGCTGTGCCAGTGGATTTTTCTCCGTCAGTTCAAATGTCAATGGCTCCAGCCTTTCAATGGGATCTCTGACGCTGCCAGGAATTCCTTCAACTCTTTGCAAGGAGATGATAGAATGTCACATCTGAGGCCTGGACACCCAACAGACCCCAGTACTAACTGACCACAGTTTACTTCTTGGCAGTGACAAAAAAACAGCAAAGTTTGATAATGTTGCAGAGTAGCTAATCACTCTGTATCTCCTTTACAGTGAAGGCGTCAAAGTTAGATATCCCTGGCAACCAATGTTACTAAGGCATGAACGAAGGAAAATGTATCAGAGGATATATTTTCTTTATTTGCATTCCATTAGCATTTCCAATTTGGGCAGGAGCACTCAGCGCCTGCCATCACTTTTAGAGAAAAAAACTTGAAAGTGAAGACAGCCGGTTCAGTTGCCCCTTTACCCATCCAATAAAGGGTACAGGGGGATAACCTAATCCGGTATTTATTATTGACTGGCAATAGGTGGGTAGCATTGAGATGCTAATGGATGAAGTCAATGTAAATTAAAATTAGCAAAGATAGTTTAATAGGCTGTCAATTTCCATTCACCCATTTTGTACAGACATACAAAGTGACGATCTACCCCATAATATTTGTTCCTTCATATCTTGCTTTACTGACTCCAAAATGAAATAGAAACACATAGTATAGTGAGTAAACTTCATTTCATAATGGCGTATACTCAGATAGCAGAATCTAAACTCAGCCTCTTTTCCAATAGAAGGGTGCAAGCAATTACCAGAGTCTTTTAATTCTAAAATCTCATTTTGAATGAGTTCAACATAAGTTTGTACAAAACGGTCCTATGGTACCTGATACATATTTGCAGCATATTTACACCACTCAGAACATAATTTGAGAGCATCCGGGAAAAGAATGGAGAATAGGTATACCACTCCACAATGTTCAATAACAACTAAATACAAATTCATATTGTTGATGTGTCAGTGAACTGTGAAGCTACATATTCAAGGCTTTCAATGATGCAGACAACTGTTCGGGGGTAAAAAAACAATAACAAGTTCAGTGGAGTAAATGCTATAAGCTTCTTGTGCAGGAACCTTAACTGTTGATGTATGTACTATTGATCATCATGCATTCTTTATGAAGGAGCTGCTTACCCAACCTTAGAGTCACTCAGGCATTGACTGGACTGGAAAAGAATCTCTTAGGTGAATTGCCAAGCAAACCCCTAATCACTTGTCCTGGAGATTGTTTACAAGGACAAACAAACAAGCTCAACCATTTCGGGTATAGAATTATTTGTGTCTTCTGCATTTCTGGTTAAATGTAGTATTTAATATCATTTAGTACTTCTTTTAATGTGAGAACTTGATTGTTCACACAGTTTTTTTAAAAATTCACTGCATCCTTATTCACATCAAGTTATTTATATCTGCTGCTGATTCCCTGTAAGCAATAAACTGTAATGATAGAGGTTGTCTAGCCAGATATGAGAAAAGTTAAGTATATCTGCTTGATTCAGTTTGAGCTGGAGATGCCTGATTTGCTGTGTATGTGTTTCAGGCGGGAGCACGCCTCCTGGTATCACCGCACCAGCTGTGCCTAGTATTCCTTCTCCAATTGGAGTAAATGGATTCACCGGCCTCCCACCACAGGCTAACGGACAGCCAACAGCAGAAGCCGTCTTTGCCAATGGAATCCACCCCTACCCAGGTACACATTCACAATCTTCATTTACATTGCAATCAGAATGGATGATGCAGAGGAAAGCAAGTCCAGTTTTGTAAGTGTGTGGTTGGGAAGGGAGAATCTCGCTGTTAATTCTTAGCTGGTGTTAACCTCCATATTTTTGATTTTTGTTCTTAGTCACTCCTTCGCTATCAGTGAGAGTTTCTGTGATATTTGAGGTCAACTTCCATCCCTACTGTCTTATTTTAACCACAGTTTTATGAATATAAATGAATCCAGTTCATAAAAGCAAGTTATGGAAGCAGAATAATTAATATTGTAATTTTATACCTAGTACAGATCAAAGATAGAACTATTTTAACCACTTTATACCATATTAGACTTAGATCATAAGACCATAAGATGGAGCAGAAGTAGACTATTCAGCCCATCAAGTCTGCTCCACCATTTAATAAGACTATGGATGATCTGGTCATCCTCAACCCCCACATTCCTGCCTTATCCCCCTATCCCTTGATTCTCTTAATGATTAAAAATCAGTCTATCTCAACCTAGAATATACTTAACAAATCAGCCTCATTAGCCTTCTACAGTTAAGAATTCCACAGAGTCAATGCCCTCTGATAGAAGAAATTCCCCCTCATCTCTGACTGAAATGGATGACCCCTTACTCTGAGATTATGTACTCTGGTCTGAGACTCTCCCACAAGGAAAGCAACCTTTCCTCAGCTACCCTGCAGTTATTAGACTTTTGAATGGTCCTCTCAAGTGTTAATGTTGATCTCTCTCTCTGCACCTTCTCTGCAGTTATAACTCTGTGTTCTGCACTCTGTTCTGCTACCTGATGCACTTTGTATGGTACAATCTGCCTACGGAGCGCACAAAACAACACTTTTCACTGTAGATAACAAGGTGTAGAACTGGATGAACACAGCAGGCCAAGCAGCATCAAAGGAGCAGGAAGGCTGACGTTTCGGGCCTAGACCCTTTGTATCTCGCTACAGGTGACAACAATATATCAAACTAAATCAAGCTCAAACTCAAACCCCATAAAGTCCCCTAAGAGTCTGGTATGTTTCAATGAGGTCTCCTTTCATTCTTTTAAACTCCACTGAGTACAGGCCCAATCTACTCAACCTCTCCTTATAAGACAGCCCTTCCATACTCAGGATCAACCGAGTGAAATTTTTCTGGACTGCCTTCAATGCTGGTATTTCTTTCCTTGGAAAAGAGAAGCAAATCTGTTCAAAGTTCAAGGTGTGAACTAAATAGTGCCTTGACTTCCCTATTTTTCATACTCTATTCCATGTAAAAGTTCAATGTTCATTTACCTACTCTTTTACCTGCTGAAATGCATGCTCGCTTCCAATGATTCATGCACAAGGACTCCAAAATCCCTCTGTGCTGTAGCTTTCTTCAATCTTTCTCCTTTTAAAGAAAATTCACCTCCTCTATTCTTCCTGCCAAAGTGCATAACTTCACATTTTCCCACATTATTTTCCATCGGCCAAATTTTTGCCCACTCACTTATGCTGTTTATATTCCCCTGCAGTCATTTGTGTCATCCTCACTACTACTTGGCAATAGTACATCACTTTCCTCATCTAAGCCATGAATATACATTGTAAAAAATTGTGACCATAGCACTTATCCCTGAGGCAATTCACTAATTACATGTTGCCATCCTGAAAATGCTCCCATCATTCCAACTCTCTATCTTCTTATAAATTCACCCAAAATCCTCTATCCATGTTAATATACTACCTCAAACACTATCTTATTAGATGGTCTAAAGTATAGTATCTGAACAAACACCTTCTGGAATTCAGATAAATTACATCCACTGCTTCCCTTTTATGTATCTTGCTTATTAACTCTTCAAAAAATGCTAATAAATTTGTCAGGCATGATTTTCCCTTTGTGAAACCATACTGACTGTGCTTGATCATATTATGCATTTCTAAATGGTCTGCTATCAACATCCTTTATAAAGACTCGAACATTTTCCCAATAACAGATGCTAAGCTAACTGGACTTTAGTTACCTTTTGTTGTCTCCTTCCTAATTATGACTTTTGACTTAGTCATAAGTTGGTTATACTGGAAATCAAAAGGCAGAAAATACAGCAAAAATGCACAGTCAGTCCAGCTGTTCCTGGAAAGGGAAAAGACTGGATGATTCGCATGTAGCTACAGCCTACATATCAGATCTGGTAAAATTCAAACAAAATTCTTCCAAATAAAATACTTACCTATCTTTTCTCCTTTGCAATATTCATGATTTAATTGTTGTCTACTTCCTGGGCATACTGTCCATTCACAAAAAAGGAATGCATTCATATGACGCCTTCTACGATGTCAGGACGTTCCTAAAGTGCTGCACAGTCAATTCATTATTTTTTTGAACTATTGATCATTATCGCAATGTGGAAAATGCTAGACTCAGTTTGCACACAGCAAGGTCCCACAGGTAGAATGATGTTCATTGAGGGATAAAAGCTGGCTAGGATGTCAAGGATAACAACCCTGCTACTTTAGAGCCAACAGTGCTACCCATGAACCGTAATATTTCAGATATGGAATCAATCCCAGAGTTTCTTCTTCCACCATAGAGATTCGCACTGGCTTCTCTATACAGTGGGAACTATATATCTTGAAAAACTTCATAATTTTTCATTTAGTCCTAAGGCAGAGAACTCTATTAATGCTGTACCTTTCTCGGCAAAATTTATCCTTGCACTACTATGTGGTAAATGATCCTAATTTTGGCAAACTCAGTCTTACCAAGATTTATCACCAAATCAGCTACTATAATTTTCTAAACAGAGCTACTGGTTTTTTCACGTAGTGGTCCCAAGTGTCACGCTACACCAGCACATCATCAACATAAATCACAGTTAGGAACACTGGCTACCACTTGGTTCATTTATCTTTGGAAATTTGCTAGGGCATTTGTTAGCCCAAATGGCATCACTGAAATCAGAAAAGGCAATCTGTGTGACAAAGACTAATATCTCCTTTGCTCAGGGTGTTAAAGGATCTGTCTATATCCCTTAAAGAACGTAAGAGTATGGAGCAGGAGCAAGCAATTCAGCCCCTCAAGTCTTGTCTACCATTTAGTGTCATCATGGCTAATCATCATGGCCTCAACTCCTGCCCACCCCCCATAACCTTTTAACCCATTTCTAATTTAAAATCTATCTCCTCCTTATACTTATTCAATGTCCTGGCATCCACCACAGTCCGAGCTAGTGAATTCCATAGGTTCACAATCCTTTCAGGGAAGTAATTCCTCCTCATCTCTGTTTTAAATCTGCCACTCCTTAGCCTAAAACTACGATCTGTCATTCTAGATTGCCCACAAGGAGAGATACTAAATCTGGTAGAATAAATTTGGTTACTGCCAACTTAACCAGTACAATCTTCCAAGTGAAGAATTGGATATGAACCTGCATTTGTTGCTACATTGACCTTTCTGTAGTTGATGCAAAATCTGGTTGAACCTCCAGGCTTAGCCATTAACAAGACAGAGGAAACCAAAAGAACTGCAGATGCTGTAAATCAGGAATAAAAACAGAAGTTGCTGGAAAAGCTCAGCAGGTCTGGCAGCATCTGTGAAGAAAAAATCAGAGCTAACATTTTGGGTCTGGTGGCCCTTCCTCAGAAATCAAAGTTTTGAGGAAATGTTAACTCTGATTTTTTCTTCACAGGTGCTGCTAGACCTGCTGAGCTTTTCCAGCAACTTCTGTTTCTATACACGACTGGGGAACGTTAGCTCCCGTGATTGTGTTCAACTTGTTGGTTTTCCGACACATATTGCATTCCTGTTTTCACCTGGGCAAGTATCTCTGTTTCTAAGTGATAAGGATGCTGATTTATACAAGAGGACTTTCCAACATCCACATCATGTATGGCTGAAGTTATATACCCTGATTTGTGTTTTCAAAAAAATTGTGAGTTGCCTTAGTAAGTCTCCTTGAGGTTTTGCCTCGAAATATAAAAGCACAGTGTGTAACCTCCCTAATAGATCAGTGTTAACTAACTGGATAGTAGGAGATTCTATTTGGGAATTGCTCAGTCCTCCTTTTGTTTCATCCTCTCTATTTCTTTTGTGCACCAATATCCTTAATATCTGACAAACCTGTACTTGCTCATCCTCCTCCCGACAATGGTATCGCTTCAGTCTATTGATGTCACAGGCCATTTCTTTACCCATTAATTTGGGGTGTCTGTCTAATAATTTACTTTCCTCATCCTTTTGACTATCTGCTATGGAACACTGACTGTGCTTTCAGTTATTCACCCTGTGAAGGTAAAAATACGAACACAAAACCCCCTGGTGAAATGTCTAAGTCTTAGCATGCTTGTTAACTCATTTTTTCCTTGATTGCTTATGAAGTTCTAAAGTGTGCTTGAGTCATGTTGCAGGCTCTCATGAGTTGCTTCCAGAATACCGATATCTAATCTAATGTATACGGTTTGTCCTTCTATTCTAGAGGTGTTTGTCTGATTAGTTTCAGAGGCCCTCTCACCTTATTCTCCACAGTTAGTTCAAAAGGATTTAAACTGGTCGACTGATTAGATGAATACAGGATGAAAATAAAAAGAAATTCCAGTCCTTTGCCCGATCTTGGGGATATTCTTGGTGGTATACCCTAATCATTGCTTTGAAGGTTTGATGGCACTGTTCTAAAATTCCTTGTTTCTGTTGGTGGTAGGCTGAGAACTGCATTACAACACGACTAACCATAAATTCCTGAAAAACTTTAGACATAAAATTATAACCTTGAAGCAATTGAATCTCAATAAGTAATCCATATCAAGTGAAGAACTGGGTTAACTTTCCTACTTTTGCAGAAAGGGAACGGCCTCTGAGAACTGAGTAGCCATATGCAAAATAGTAAGGATATTCCTGTGTCTCACCCTTGCCTTCAGTACAGGTCCCATGCAGTCCACCAACAAACTGGCTGGTTTGGGAATTACAGGTTCCACTTTGGTTGCAGTCTTTCTACAATCAGGCACACA